TCAAGACCATCTAAGGAACCTGAAAGTGCACAAGTCCACGGGACCTGATGAGATGCATCTCACAGGTCCTGACGGAACTGGTGGATGAAGTGGCTAAGCCACTATCCATCATATTTGAGAAGTTGTGGCAAAGTTCCCACTGACTGGAAAAGGTAAAACAATGCCCATTTTTAAAAAGGGGAAACAAGAAGACCCGGGGAACTATAGGCCAATCAGTCTCACCTCTGTGCCTGGGAAAATCATGGAATAGATCCTCCTGGAAACTATGCTAGGGCATATGGAAAATAAGGAGGTGATTTTTGACAGCAGACATGGCTTCACTAAGGGCAAATTGTGCCTGACAAATTTGGTGGCCTTCTACAACAGGGTTACAGTGTTGGTGGACAAGGGAAAAGCAACTGACGTTATCTACCTGGACTTGTACAAACCATCTGGCACTATCCTGCCATGACATTCCTGTCTCTAAACTGGAGAGACATGGATTTGATGGATGGACCACTTCGTGGATAAAAAATTGGCTGGATGGTCACACTCAAAGAGTTCAGGTCAACAGCTCAATGTCCAAGTGGAGAACTGTGACAAGTGGTGTTACTCTGGAGTTGATGCTGGGACCAGCGCTGTTTAACATCTTTGTTGGAGACCTAGACAGTGGGATTGAGTGCACCCTCAGCAAGTTCACCAACAACTCCTTGTTGTGTGGTGCAGCTGATGCACTGGAGGGAGGGGATGCCATCCAGAGGAACCTGGACAGGCTGGAGAGGTGAGTCTGTGCAAACCTCATGAAGTTCAACAAGGCCAAGTGCAAGGTCCTGCCCATGGGTCAGGGCAATCCCAAGCACAAATCCAGGCTGGGCAACAAGTGGATGGAGAGCAGCCCTGTGGAGAAGGACTTGGGAGTATCAGGGGATGGAAAACTGCCTGTGAGCCAGCAATGTGCGCTCACAGCCCAGAAAGCCAGCCGTGTCCTGGGATGCATCAAGAGCAGTGTGGCCAGCAGGTCGAGGGAGGGGATTCTCCTCCTCTGCTCTGCTCTCGTGAGACCCCCCTGCAGTGCTGTGTCCAGCTCTGAGGCTCTCAACATCAGAAGGGCATGGATCTGCTCGAGCAGGTCCAGAGGAGGCCACGAAGATGATCAGGGGCTGGAGCACCTCCCTTGTGAGGCCAGGCTGAGAGAGTTGGGGTTGTTCAGCCTGGAGAAGAAAAGGCTCCGGGGAGACCTTATAGCAGCCTCCCAGTGCTTAAAGGTGGCTACAGGAAAGCTGGGGAGGAACTTTTTACAAGTGCATGTAGTGATAGAGCAAGGCGTAATGGCTTTAAACTGAAAGAGGGTAGATTTAGTTTAGATACAAGGGAGAAATTATTCACTGTGAGGGTGCTGAGGCACTGGAACAGGTTACGCAGAGAGGTTGTGGATGCCCCCTCCCAGGAAGTGTCTAAGGACCCTTCCAACCCAAACCATTCTATTACTCTAATGACAGGATGAGTGACTCTAACGTACCCACCACCTCTTCCTTCCACAGTGAGGCAGTAAACACCTACCTCCTCAAGTCTAAAGAGAACCCATCCCACCTAAGGCCTTAGAAGCTCTCTGCTCTCTCCCAGTTGGTCAGGGGCTTGCCCCAACCCGAGATGGAGGAGCTGGGGACATACCTGGGGACATCTGTCTTCCTCATGGACCAACTCTCCTGTCCCACTCACACCAGGTGGCACTGTTGGTTTTCACTGTACGCATGCACCCTTCCACCTTCTCCAACACTAACATTGATGTGTGCTGGACTTAAAAGCCGTAATTTTCAAACTTTTTCAGTTTTTGAATCCCTAAGCTTTTCCTATTTAAGAGTGGGCCTATTCAGATATTTAACATGGAGAGACTGCTTTGTAGAACTTGTTTTTCTGCCTCATTCCAGGCAGCCACCAGAGTACCCTATGGACCCCCAGGACTGCAGACTACATGTCTGAGCCACTGGTGAAGTCAGTAAGAGCATCGCCTTTGGACAAGCACAGAGAGAGATTCGGGTCTTTTAAGACTACATATAAAAACATGGTAGAACAGAGGTGTTTATCCTTTTTAAAATATGAAATACCCTGAATTAAGTTACATAATTCTCATTTGCAACTCCGATCAATATATAAATTAATATATAATCCCCCATCTTTCACAGTGCCTCTATTACTGTTTTATCTCTCCCATATACTATTGCCTTCTGATGATGCATGTTCTCATAAAATTGCTTAGACTTGCTTAAATTTGCTTAGGAGGGGAGTTTCAACTTGATCTGTTTCTTCTGTGCACAGTATTCTTCACTGACTCTACCCTCATCAGCTCATTTTAAATTTCTAGCAACTGAAGGGAGAGTCTGTTTGCTTGTGGAGATACACTCAAAGAGCTGCTTAAAGCTAAACTGAAAAACAAGCTACAATGGAGTTATTCATCCATGAGAATAGTTAAATTTTCTTCACACTTAGCACCACTCAAATGATCCTTAAACATCAAAAAAGTACTAACTAGCTAATAGCTCTAAGAGTTCCCTATTGCCTTACATTCACTGGCGTGTCTTGCCCAACCTTAAATTAGGCCAGTTGAATTTGCAATGTCAATGTACCAAATTATTAAATGATTATAAAATCTCTATTTCTGTTCAAGGGCTCTCCTTTGAGGAAACGCAACACTCCCTAAAATAAGGATCGAATCAATGGCAAATATGATTGAAGTCAGATGGAAGTAATAGTTATTGTTCTGTTGAATACAAAGAGCATGGAGCCTGATAAAGGAATGAAAAGTGAAGAGCAGTGAATATTCCATTTGTCCATGAATCCAGAATGGTCACACATACACTGCTATCCTATTTGCTGTATACCAAAAATCACTGTTCCTGTGCAAGAGCAAAACTTGTTATTTTCCAGTGAAAAAGCAATGAAATACCAGAAAAGATTAAGTCATTTTAAAATATAACATCTTGAACTGAAACAAACAGTGTCTGCTAACAACTGGTAGCTGAAGGAGGCTGATTGCCTGTTGCTGGCTACCAGTTTCTTTTCCAGTTTCATTTCCACTAAAAGTGGTTCTCCAACACATAAAACCAAAAGTAAAGTCTTTAAAATAGAACATGAGTGCCAGATTCCTAGAAATAATCCCATGATTTCAGCAACCTCTGCTACGCCATAGAACAAGAGGGGCAATTATGTCATGGTTTAAAAAAAAATCTCAGCATTCACTCCTACGAGAGTAATGAAGAGGAAAGGATAGTATCAGTTCTATAGGGAGGAAGATCCCACAAGTAAACTTTCCCCAGGAAAAATGGTAGTGGGAGACCCAGCATCCATGCCCAAAATCTGACAGAAGAGACAAGACACACCTGCTCAGAGGTTTGGTATTTCTACTGTCAGCATTGCCCTCATTCCCAAAGAGGGCAGACACAGCGGTCCTGGCTACTCCCCAGACCTACTTAGAGTAAGGTTCTCCAAGTATAGCAATGCTCAACAATTATCCGAAATGCCTGGATTGATGTCAATCTCCCAAAACAGTTGTGCTAGGTTGAGGGGGCACCATGAAATTCTAAAACCTTGTGTGTTTGCTAATCCCAAATCCCAAACCATAGCTGTTTCCCTCTAGCGAGAGACCTTCATGGGGCCCCAAGTAAATCAGGGACAGAGCTAAAAAAGAAAACTAGAGCTCCTTAGGAACAGAAGAGGCTCCTTATATACATATTCTGAAAGCACAGTTTTATACTATTTAAAACAATCTATTTATAAAGTCTTCATGATCTTTAAATATGAGAGGCACTTCAAAAATTAGCTTGATTTATAATTTCAGTAACAATTGTTTACCACATGACTGATGCTGCAACACTAGAAGATCAAACTAAGAACCATTAGTCAAGTGCATAGTTAACCATCAGTTTAACCATTAGTTCTACTAGCAGGAAAAAAGCATTTTTTTTTTGAGACTACCTTGTGCTTAGAAGCCCATTGCAGACACAGCAGAAGAATCAGGCATTAAAATGTCAGGCAATGCAAAACCCTTTTCCCAGCTCGTATTAGAAAGGAAAAGATTTAGCCTATCCTAGTGTTATTGCATGTAGCAAAAAACATGTGGAGTTTTAAAATTATTTTCTACAGAACAAATTCTGCTTTGCAGTAGCCTCAAAAATCTCACGCTGCATGGCACTATGATCCAGGCCTGTTACACTGACCCACATGCAGCCCTGCAGGGGCGTATTCAGCAGGGTGGCACACAAATATGGAATCACTATCACTTAAAACATATTTGCTATTCATTAGTGGAATATACAGATCCAGCTTTGGGAAAATAAATCCTCTTTCCTTATCCACCTTAAACACCTGCTGTTAGGGCAAATGGAAGCCTAATACACAACCAGCATCAGCTAAACATAGCTAATGAAAGGATACAAAGCGAGGTCCAGGCTTCCGCACCAACAGCGGCTCCCAGCCATGTCGCCACATGTTCTGGGCTTCAACGGTTATCGCTACTAAAGCTACCGGGGGGGCCCGAGGCCACGCTGCAGGGGCAACCCGGGAGGCTTTGAGCTCCCCCCCCCCCCCCCCGCAGAGCAACTCGGCACCAGCGTGCAGACCCCTGCTCGCCGATGGCCGCTGCCCGGCGAGCAGAGCGGCCCCGCCGCACCGGGCGCGGCTCTACAGGTCCCGCTCCGCAGCGGCGGGGGGGCCCCGCCGCCGGCCGCCACCGGGGCTCCCGGCTCCGGGGGGGACGGCAGCCCCCCTCCCGCGGGTACCGCAGCCCGGTCCTCCATCACGGCAGGGACCGCCCAGCCTTTGAGGTCCCCGTTAGCCGGGCCTGGGCGGCGGGGGCAGCGGAGAGGAGGGCTGCTCCCGCACAGCTCCGCAGCGGCCCGGGGCCGGGCCCTTACCGATGCGCCGCACGTAGTGTTTTGCAGGAAGTTTCCACGCTCCTCAGTTTAATCCGTGCAACGGGGGGGGGGGGGAGTGTTGTGTTGGAGAGGAGCGCGGTTGAATAGCGGTGACAGGGGGCGGGCGGGGAGGAGGCGGTAGCAGCAGCCGCCGTGTTTAATTTTTTAATTAGGGCGGTTTGAGCATCTCCCGGCGGGGTCGCATCGTCGGGCGGCGAGGGGAGCCCGGGCGAGTAGCCCCCGCCGCCCGGGACCACCCCTCGCCCCCCGGGGCCGGAGCCGTGCGAGCCGTCGGGGCTCCAGCCTGCGCTTTCGACAGCGGCCGAACCGGGCCCGGAGCCGCGGAAAGCTCCGCGCTCCGCCGCCATGGGCAGCGCGGGCGCGCAGGAGAAGGGTTCGTAGCGCGGGCGCGGCGGCGGGGAGGGGGGGGGGGGGCTGAACCGGCGGCACCGCCCGGGCCGGCCCGCACCCACTTCGGGCGGGAGGCACCCCGGGCCGAGGGGCGGTGGGAGGGTAAACGCGTAAACCTGCGCCCCCCCCTCCGCGGGGAAGCGGGGCCGGTGAGTGTGAACATGAAAAGGCTGTGCGTGCAACGCTACACCAACAATTGCTTTGCAGGTGCTCGCTCTCTCGAAGCCGCCATCCCCGGGGAAGCAGGCAACACTTTTCCATGTTCAGAAGTTAAGGATGCTGCTAGTGAACGTTTTATTTTCTTCTCTGTATTATCCAAATCTAGACCACATACTTGAATTCACAGCACAGCAGGTCTTGTCCAATGGAGACTCCAGGCTTATGTTTTTACTAAGGATAAAATTTAATTTCTGTAATTCATTGCTTGTCTGAAGGCTGGAAGAGTCACTGCCTGGCTGCTGCTTCTTTGCAGGGAAATGTCGTTCGTGTGAAAAAGTGTTGCCTGCACCCTGAGTTACCATGCTGCAAAAACACTGCCTGTTTTTATGGGGCTCTGCTCTCCTTGCAGAACAGTTAGCTGTGCCTTCATTTACTGGCCATCCATGGCCTGGCCTTCCTACCTTACATCTCCCTGTATGTTGTCTTAGAAACCTTACTCTAAAGAGACAGTCTTCTCCCCAGCATTTTAGAGAACACAGGCATGAAGTGTGCACATAAGCATGACAAGTTGGCTATGTGGTCACAGAGCTTGTTTTGCAGCATTTCTGGCCATGTGTTAACTTGAATACCTCAGACCCTTGGGAAAATTCCAAATCCATGCAGATTTCTATTTCGTCTAGTCTTCTCCATTGCTAATCCTTTTATCCTACCACCTCCTATGCCCAATTCTTTCAATAGCATTCATGGAATACAGTTTAGTTTCCTTGACCAGATAGTTATATGCAGATGAGGTACTTCTGAAACTCCCAGAGGATGCCTGTTATGTCCCTAGCCACACCAACACCTTTTCAAGTCAGGTTTGCTGTTAGTCAAACACAAGCCTGAGACTGAAGCTATTTGAAATACCTTTAGAATGACCAGATCCATGAACCAGTAGCTCTGCTGCAGACATCCATGGGGAGAACAGATGGCAGTTTAGTCCATTTTATTACACACTATTGTTTATAAAGTGAGTTTTCTGGCACCTGAGGCTTAATCATGCCAAGAGGATGAATGCTCCCAGCTTGAGCAGACGTTAAAGGTACTTATTTCTAGTACTGAGCCATTAAAAAAACAAAAAAACCTACAGGGGGTTCTGTGAGGGAAAGACTGAAACCCCAAATATAAGGAAGATTATTGAGGAAGTCTCTATTTAAGACTTACTGGTTACTTTCTTAATCTTCTCAGTATCTCTGAAAACATAGAAGTGAAGGCTAGGTCTGAAAATAGTGACACCCAAACCACCGAAGAGCTGGGGCTGGGATCTTCAACCCACACCAAACATTGGCAGAGTTGGGCTGGTGATGCTGATAGAATAAGAATTTCAACACCTTTCTTCCAGCTGCCTCACAATACTTAGTGTCCACGGTGTTCCCCTTCACCCTCCACAGGTGCAGGCAGCACCCCCAGCTCATACCTCCATTCTCCTTAGCTCAGTGGTCTACATGCTGAGTTATTTTCCTCATTTCTATTTTCTCTAGGACTCCAGTTGTTTCTTTTGGCCTCACAAGGGTCTCCAATGGCCTTTTATTTCACAGCAGGACGTTAAGGAGCCTTTCTTTATGCCAGTGTTTTTATACAGGCAATGAATCAAAGGATGAGTAGAGTCTTGACCTATAAAAAAAAGTCAAGAGAGATCACACTGAGGCCAGTCCCTACAAAATGACTCTGCAGATTCTAACTGATACAATGCCTGTCCCCATCATACTTCCCTAAAGGTTATCTTCAAGGATTTTTGGATCCAGGCCATGTTAGTATTCACAGTCGTCTGACTCACGACTTTAACACATACACTGCAGCAAATGAAAGGGTATGTGACTAACTGGGAGAGGACATCTAACCTGTATGCAGCATTAAAATGTGAAAACAATAAAAAGGCACTCCAGGTCATTCTTGGTACCACAGTTTTGGGGATACATAATTAGAGCAAAATGTTTTGTGAATTTAAGGCTTCAGTTATATTTTCTGAAATTCAGGACAAGGAAGAGAAGAACTCAAAGCTGCATATTAGTTTCCCAGAATCAATTCCCTCCCCAAGCAAAGTGCCCAGTGTTTTCTCATGCAGCTGTTTCAGCCAAACTCTTGCCAAATAAGACTAAGATACATATTTCTTACCACTCCATGTTTCAGCATCACTCAAGCTTTGCACAGAGATCTGTCCCATAACATCACCTGAGAAGCACATAATGTACAAGCAAATCTCACTAATTCCAGTGTGTAACCTGCAAAATTAGTAAGACTGGACGTCATATTATTGGAATATGACTCTCTACAGTGAAGAAATGTCACCTCACATACATATTTCTCTGGACTCAGCTCAAATGCAGGGTTCTCCGTGGTCAGCCTGTCCTGAAGATTTCTTTCTGTGTCTTTCAAGATAGCAATTGGGTTGTTTGGGTCTGGCTTTCCCAGGTAGTTCCTACATATCATTTTCCTGTATAAGCCTTTAATTTAACTTTTATAACCCAGTGTCCTAGGACTTTTGGAAGGTATTTTTTTTTTCCCTTGACTGGCTCTTGTTCAAATCAACTTATTTGTGACATAAATTTGTGATGTTGAACTTTCTGTGATTTTTTTTTCCTACAGAAGGTCAAACTTAATAGAAAAATTGGAAGTATGCCCAATGAAAAACGGTACAGCAGGTGGGCTTTATCTATGATATGTTTTTAGAAAATAAATATTGATTGTTGACATTATTTCTAATTCCCATAGGCTATGTCTGGATCTTTTCTCCAACTTAACTGGAATTAAAACAGCATGACCCAAACAGCAGAATGTAATTCAAAACAAGGAAGGATCTCACACACAGCTCTATATAATAAACATGGTTTGTTGTTATGATCTGGAAAATGTGTAAAGACTGTAATAGGAAATCATATTATTTAATGCCTACTATATTGAGGGTTATTGCAAAAAGAAAGACTGGTGCCTTGCCCTTTTAATCCTTGTTTTAAAATTTGAATTCTTTAGGGTAATATTCCCACAAATTCTGAAGTGAGAAAGGAGACACCAAATGAGTTAAAAGTCCTGTCCATTTATGTTTTCCCAGGAATACCAAATCTTATTTTTCCTTTTTCTATTGTTATGAATTATAGGCTGACTCAGGGTATGGCTACTTTCAGCCATGACTGCAGTACAGATACTGGAGTTCCCTCTAAACTGGCTAGCAGCACAGGTACCTGAAGCAGTGTAGCCATGGCAGCACAGAGCTCTGAGTGGCCTAATTACTCTGCTGAGAAATAAACGGATACTGGGAATTCCCTGGGGGGAAGAACGGATAAATTTTTAACGAAAAGAGTTTTCCCCTCAGGCACATTAGTTAAATAGGTGTTAACAAGAGCCAAAAACCTCAAGCTCCAACCTTAGAATAAAAATGCCTTTGTCCTTTGGTACTTCTGATGTCCCAGTCCTTCCAGTTCTCCTGCTGCCTACAGAGACAAAAGAAAGATGTGATTTCAATATCTGATGGAACACCTAAAGTAAAGCAAAACGATTCCCACCCCCAACTAAAATCTACACATAAGATCTCCTTAAAAAGACAAAAGACTCTCCTGACTGGAAACACACACAGCTGTCCTGGTAGCAGTGGGGGGCTGGAGGTGCTTGAGCATCCTGCCTCCAATATGACACACATCAGGGTCAGTCCACTGAGGTCCATGAGGAACATGTTCAGACTTGGTGTTTACCATGCCTGTAAAAATGTCAGGATATGTATGTATTTAATAGTGAAGACCAAGGAGAAGAAACAAATAAGAGCAAGGTTTAAGGGAAGGGAATTTACTTCTGTTCTCTCTTCTCCCACTAATCTTTCCTCATACATAAGGGTGGACATGTATAGAGGAAGGTGAAGGGGCAATTTTACCAATATGCTCACTTTCTTACAAGCTCAAAATGCACACAGCATTTTTCTGAAACGAGCTCAAGACTTCCCTAAAATTGCACACACAATGTTTTATTTTACAAGTTGGATCTATTTATCTAGGTTCACAAGCTAAATTACATGAGCAAAATCCACATTATTTGGCTGAAATTCTCTTTGAGGTCAATGAGTTTACCTAGTTTAAGGACTGAGATGCAAAGCCATTTCAGAAAACATACTGGTTTCTGCAGGTGGAGACCTTGGTGAGTATTGCCAAACCAGAATCTGTAGGCTTGTGCCCAGTCTGATGAAGTACTGTTTGCAACAGCCATATGCTGAAATTACTCTGTTTTGAGGAGACAGAAAGTCAGAAAATTGTGAGTTTGCTGTCTCATTATAGAGACCAGTAAGTGAATGGTTTGTAGAGACTAAAAGTTGCAGTTTTACCAGATTAATCTAAATGTGAAAAAACAACAGGACACTATGAAAATCCAAGCTGTTTTTCATTTCCAAATGTTCATATGCTACAGCTCAGCTATACACACCCCACTTAGACCTAACCAAACTGATTCTGCTTTTTTATGCAGGCAAAGAAGCAACAGAGGTGAAAATCCCACAGAGTCACCAGGATGTGATGCCCAATGATGAGCAGTAATTACTGCAGCAACACTTCAGCCAGCATGAGTGTCAATGAAATGTCTGCCTTCCCTCTGACTTTAGAGCAAAAAACTGGCTTTGCCTTTGTGGGGATTTTGTGTGTTTTCTTGGGACTTCTAATTATCAGATGCTTCAAAATCTTGCTAGACCCCTACAGTAGTATGCCTTCTTCTACGTGGGAAGATGAAGTTGAGGGGTTAGATAAAGGAACATTTGAATATGCTCTTGCATGAAAACTTGCAGAATATCCTGCGTTAAAATTGTTGTTGATTTCATTTTGGAAACCAACTGTTGTTAAATTTGTTACACATATCTGCATTTTGGAGATATGTTGGTGGCATCCATTTTGTTAAATAAATATCTGTTGCAAACTCAAAAGGCACTTCATGTTGCTTTTATTTGAGGAATAGTGGAATGGTAGATAAGAAATGGTTAACAGCAAAGTAATACTACAGTAAAAAATTCACTAGAAAGTTATCATGGCCAAAAAGTATTTTAAGAATCAGATGATATCTGCCTCTTCAGAGGAGGATCTCATATTTACGGTATCTCATGATAAGCTGGAGAGAAAGGTCAAGGATAAAAGATTCATGAATGGTGAATGCTTAAGTGATAACTCCCTCCCCTCCTCATTTGACACAATTGGTCCACACACTACCAATAAGAAGGAACTAACTGGCAAGCTAAATCACCTCTGACCTTCCAAAGAGCAGGTGCTGTACTACTGACTGTTTATAAGGGACGTGTACATTGCTTTTCCTGTGTAAAACTTGCAGTGGTCCTCTGCAAACAGTGCATAGCTCTCATGAGAGTATTTTTTTAATAGGTCTCCCATTCTCTTACTCTACAGCAGCAGAAAGTCAAACAGAATTAGTAGAAGGGAAATGAACATCATTAAGGAAAATTTTTACTCTACAAACATTCAGCAACACAAAATATATTACCTGCTCAGAACTCCAGTCTGAACCACCACCACCACAATCCCAGTCCATGAGTGTCTTCCATATCATTAAAAATTTTAGGTGAAAAAGTGAATATTAAGTAACCAATCTTACAGCCTAGCTGAATTGGTCAAGGCATGCTATTTTTTTACTCTACTTGGTTATGGAAGATGATTCAGTTTAAACTGGAACTAAACCGTCTGGTTAACAGCTCCCAGCAGTAATTACACCAGCTTGGCAAGGCTGCATACCCACTCATACCCAGCCCCAAAAGGGATGAGGTCCAGAGCTAACAGGAGATCTCTGTACCCTCTAGCCTGTTGCCACAGCTGGTTCTTCTGCTTGTGCTCCTATAACTGTGCACAGTGTATGACCTGGACTGCCAAACTGCAGGATTGGTCATAGGAGATCCTATCAAGGCAGAAGAACTAAGTGAAATCAGAGACTCAAATCTGGGTATTCAAGGTCACCCTCATATACACAGCTGTTTAGCAAGTGTGACAGTACTTGACAGAAATTCAATTCAGTTTTTAAGAAGGTTGGCATTAGAATTTTAAGCACTGTCACTTTTACTAAACAGCTCTGTTTGCAACGAGGAGCAAAGACAAGGAGATCAGTTACAGTAGCTGGTGTCTTTTGCATGTACTCTGAAAAATACATATTGTCCCTTTTGCCCTATATACTAGGCAGAGGCAGCCAGTGGAACAGCAGACCTCAAGTGCCATTCGGAACATGAAATACTTGGTTGTACAGGGAAGGACATGATTTCCTGTCTGAAGAATATAGGAGTAACAGCCAACACTGATCTACACTGGTCCATTTGAATCATAAAACATAAACGATTTTGTGAATGTAAGAGCTTTTAAACTACTTCAGATTATGCATTAAAAACAACAACAACAAAAAAAAAATGCCAGACCCTCAGAGATTCAGTATATTGCATTTACCCTAGTTAATTTAGCCACAAAATTGAAGGTAGCTATCAGCACATTGATTCATGGGATCTGCTATTGTTGGATAGGATCATCCACTGCAGAGACCTGACACTGACATTCTTTTTACATACACCTAATGAGCACAGCTGAGCTTTGTGTTGTCAGGTTAGAGTGCTGAAGGTACTTAAGTTATCTGGGTTAAATATAATTCAGTTATCTCTAAACTACACAGCAAACACAGCAAACATACCCAAAGAAGCCCAGTACTGTCTTACTACTTTTGTTCTGGACACAATCTATTGCTGGAAGCAATTATCAAATTCCCTTACGATTATACAGCTTCATTGTTTCCTGCTCACTCTTCTTTGCACCCCCAAAAGACAAGACAGTCGGCCTTCCCAGGAAGAAAACACAGAACATAATTTTTCAAAGGTTTTCCTTAAATATACAGAGTAAAACTCTGAAAGGGGTTAGGAGCAGATGGTTCAAAACCACATGTAGGACAAGGGGACCCAGCAATGACTGATCCCACTGGCTTCACTGGAATCTCTTCTGCATAAAATGTGCTGAGCAGAAGCCTGAACTCTTGTTATCTCCATTACTATATATGCAGAACTGAAAAATAGAGAGATCATGATCTGTGTGCAGGATCAGGCATAGCTGGGAGGGAAATGGAGATAACAAAAGTATTTTCAGGCCCCCTTAGAAATTTTGCAATACCATAAACCCAGTAATTGTAATGGATAGGTACATTTGCTGGTTAATAGTTAACAAGCTAGAATGCCTCTCTAAATCACCACCTAGAAATGTTTTGAAAGAGAGGGATTGGATGGTCTATTCAGTATATTAAGCAGAAGAAAAATCTAGCCAATAAGGCAGAGTCTGTAATGCCTCAAAGAGAAGGACACACTATATGCATGAATAAAAGAGGCAGATTGTCCTTCCCTAAAAACACAGGATTGAATGGTAAGTTAAATTATCTTGAATAAGGTAAACTTGATTATGTATACATAATGCTAGAATACTAAATACAAAATTAATGGCAAGTAACAGTTAAGAGACTTCTGGAAATATAATGTGAAAAACAAAGTATTATTTTCAAGAACAGCAGAAAGGTAAGAGACTTTTCTTTTCCTAGTAAAATAGTAATATTATGAAAATAAGACAGTGAAATTACAGAATCATTTTACTTGGTAGCAAAAGTCTCGTCATCAAAGAATCAGGATTTCATTCAGTCATGGAAATGGAAACAAACCTAATTTCACTGACCTTAATGACAAAAGATTTGGTTTTGCTTCTTCATGCCTGAAGATGAAACACTTCCTTACAACTTGAAAAGGCTGAAGGAGGCAGAATACTACCTATGATCAGAAATGTGTAGTTGTAATAATAATAATATTGAGCATCCAAACCTCATAGAAGTAAAATAAACTAAATGAATGTAACATGTTGCTGTGAGGCTTACAAAACATTAAGCAAGAAAACCAACATAAATATGAGGGGGTTATAAAGTGGTATCATAGCAGAGAGGTAACATCAGAATATTATCTATAGCTGATGGAAGAAGTGAGAAAATATTCTTTAGCTATATCTCATACTGAAGATGGAGGCCATATGATTATCAACTCTTCAAATTATAATTTGATATGTGGTTTTAGAGAAAATTTACTTTGCTGAGGTGTAAACATTGATGCAGTATTTTATCCTTCGGTGCCAAGGGACCAAATGCATTTCACAAAATCATTGAGAAATTTAAATTGGAAAAAATCTCTGGAGGTCATCTAGTCCAAGCTATTGTGAAAGCACAAAACTTTAAAAAATGCCTCTAATGGGCTTATTTACCCAGATTTTCAGTTCACATATTCCTTTATATAGATATATTCTGTTTATTAAACTTCCTGCTTTTACATACAGAGTTTCAATGTCTCAGCATGCTCTGTTTTAATCAGCCTGAACAGACTTGGACTCATACTGAATTACATAGGTCTATACAATCACACTCCCTTATCTCCTGAGAAGTATGTTTCAAGACATATGGATTGCCATTGTTTCAAGAGTTCATTTCAGGGCCATCTCGGCCATGCTGTAAGTTGTTGCAATGGTACTTAACCCACTAAAGGTCTTACATATAAGTGCCGCTTTTACGCTTGATGTTTTTCTTTGCTTGCTTGTTTTTTTTTGATGGGGTCTGTGTGGCAAAGTGGAGGTGGAAAGCAGATTGTACAGCTATCATATCTTCAGCTCTCTATGGGCTGCCTCTCAGAGGGACCTAGACAGGCTAGAGGAACAGGCTGAGAGGAATCTCATGACATTCAACAAGGACAAATACCAATTCTGTACCTCGGACAGACTAAACCCCTGCACCACACAGGCTGGGGCCTCACTGGCAGGGAGCAACTCTTCTGGAAGGGACCTGGTGAGCAGCAGGCTACAGAGGAGTCAGCACCACGCCCTGGGAGCAGTGAAGATGAACACTGTCCTGGGCTGAGTTAACAGGACCACAGCCAGTAGATCAAGCAAAGTGATTATTCCCCTCTATTCACCACTCATCAGAATGCACCTAGAACACAGTTTCTAAGTTTGTCTACCTGTGCCCTGCCACTTGCCCATGTAAGAAAGATGCTGATAAACTTGTGTGTCTGGTGGAGGGCCACCAAGATGGTCAGGGGCAGGAGCATTTGCCCTACAAGGAAATAGGGCTTGTTTAACCAAAGGAAGAAGAGGCTTTAGGGGAACCTAAGCATCCCGCCCCCCCCCCCCCCCCCCCCCCCAATACTTAGAAGGAGGTTACTGACAAAGCAGAGCCATGCTCTTTACACAGCAGAAGAGTGAGAGATTATGGTAAGAGAGTGACACATGCAAGGTTCCAAATGGATATACAGGAAAAAAAAACACTTTGAGGACAATTAAGTATTAGAATAGGCTGACAAGGCAGGTTGTGAAATCCTGTGACATCCTTGGAGGATGTTAAGACCTGACTGGTAAAAGCCCCAGGTAACCTGATTTACATTCAATGTTTCCTCTGCTTTGAGTGGGAGGCTGGACTCCAGAAGCTCCCAAGGTCCCTTCCAACCTGCATGATTCTACGGCTTGCTACAATTTCTTTCAAATCATCTTAAAGAGTGTTTTGAGTGCACAAATGTAAAACTGAATGAAAAATTCTATGAACCTTCCAATGCCTAGGACTATTATTAATATTTCTCAATAATTACTACTTTATCATAGTCATTTATTTCCTCCATTATAATTTAGGAAACCCAGTGTTATTTTTTGATGTTTCAGTTGTCTATTTATTCCTTCATAATATATTAATTTTATTTACATAAAAAATTAACAATTTACAGTATCTTAATTGCCTGATCACAAATTGTCTCCATCCTGGAACTACTGAAAACTTAAAGCCTAGCTTTTGTAGTTAATTTAAAAAAATATATTTGATTCAAGCTTTTCATGCAAATTTAATTCTATACTACGAGAGAAATATACATGG